GGCTTTTTCAGCCCCTGTGTCTGTATGTCAGGAGGGACATCATCTGTTGATTTTTGTTTCTGCATCTTACCTAGCCCCAGACAGAGGGGGAAATAGCTGCTGAGCAAATTACAAGAAGAAATGTAATAGCTATAGCTGCTTCAGCATGGAATTTGAGTAACGGGAAAGCTTTACCTGTTGATTGACTGACTGGCATGAGTGTGGTCAAGGCAAGAAAACCTGAGAAAAAAAGAGCTGGCTAATCTGAACAGAATACACTTTTATCCCAGAGGCAGGGCCTAACATCTCTGACAAACTAAGAGTTTTAACTTCTTCATTTTCTTCCTTTGGTCCTACTCAAGACACATACAAACATTTCTATAAATACATGGAGTCTTCTTCCTGTCTGTCTCTTTCTCACACACAGAAGCACCCCAAGATGTTGTACATTGTGCAACTATGAATTTAGGTTATATTAATAGGGAAAATAGCCTTAACTGGCTTTTCCTGACATTTAGACGTCATGGAAACAGTTTTACCTGCTCTATTAAAAGCAAAGAACTACAAGTGCTACCTTATTTCTTTTCAAATCTAACTTAACCTGAATGGTGGAAACTTCAGAATGTCTACATAGGAAGGCAATTTGCATGTGCTTATATTTACAAAAGTCTACCTGGGGAATACCCAGCGATTCAGGTAATGAGAAGATTCATACAAGTTAAATAAAATTCTGTATACCTGTGAAACACAGAAAGAGTGTTTTGCTATCTGTTGAATCACCAAAAAGGAATAAAGGAGGAGGCTGAGCAAAAATGCTCTATAGTATTCTTTCGAGAATATTCAGTCTGTGATTTGCTACAACAAGCCCTGCTGTCTTACAGGATCCACAATCTGGCAAAACACACTGAGGATCAACCTACTTGCCTTGTTTTGCACAATTTAAAAGCCCAAAGCAAAAAAGAGCTTTTACAGATAAACACCGAGGGATGATAAACAAACATATTTCCTTCCTCACTGAACTGGAGAAAAAATGAATAAATGTTCATAAAATACTTTTTAAAACTAAAAGCACAATTTAGTGGGGATGGCATGAGTCATATGATAAAAATGAGAACCTGGCATTGTTAATTCCAAACAACACGTGGACTATGAAGAACACGTGCATGTATGCGTGAAATCCCAGACTGCAGTCCATTTTCACAGCCTTAAACATCCATTTTCTCAGAAAATTGATCTGTCTGAATGCTGGCAAATTCCATTTGCTAACTGCAGAAGTGTTGGACCTCAGAGCTAGGAGTTAAATCTGGCTAACCCTTTTGCCCTGGCTGTGGATGGCTGGATAGTTTCCTTGCTTTTCTACAGGTTTCCCCCATTTTAAAAGGTTGCAATCCCCCTTCCCAAGGCTTAGTTTCTGGCAGTAAGGGCTGTAAGTTGGAAGTAAAACATGCTGGCATTTTTGTCTTAATATTTTGGCCCTGACCCTTTTGCCTTCAGCCTTGTTCCCCAACAGAACATGGCTCCCAAGAAATTCCAAAATGGAATTTAGCCTATGGATCCAATTTGTGGATTCCACAACAGACAGGACTACTGGACAGGTGGAGTTTTGTAAGAAAAGCAGTGGGTTGACATGAACGTTTAAACTATAGAACAAAGACAAGCCATGACTCATTTATGGTATGCTCTGCAAATAAGACTATATTCTGCTGAGTGAAATAGGTACTTCACAAGGACATCAGGGAAGGAGCATTATGTACTTAAATGTTTCTCTAAATATTACACCATTTCTGTCCAGACATGTGCACAGGTGCTGTCTGGCATTGCCATAAATGCTTGAAACAGTCCATTGAGAGGCCTGGATGAGGCATTTGAACACTCCAAGAGGCACCAAATATTTATAGAGTATAACTGTTATTGTTCTGAAAAATGGGATAAATGAAATGATTTAAGATACATATATGCTTCCAAAATATGTTTATGGAAATAGAATGTGCATGCATACTGGTTTTTCTCATTGCATAGAAATTCCTATTGTGCTGAAAAGCCATTCCTGCTGTGTATGCTTCCAAAAATGCCTTTGACAATACATTAGAAATCTTGTCCTCAGGCAAATATGATTTAGCTTCCAACAAAACCTAAATTTTGCTCTTTATACACTTATTCAATACAGGCAAGGACAAAAACAACTGTTTTGCAAGTTAATAGTCCTACCGTCCTTGATCACTCAGTCTTTATAGGAAAATCTGCAACTTAAAAAAGAAAGAATAAATGGGAATGAAAATTCAGAAACAAAAAAGGGATTATAGATTAAATAGGAATAGGAACTGTGTGTGCTCCAAGGTGTCTAATTCCCTGCTAGATATTTTTGCTTTGGGTACTAAAAGCATCATGAATAAGACATTATCTAGTTGCACTAGCAAATAACTTTCAAGGCTGAAAAAGAACCCCATTCACCAAACATTTTGTTGATAGTACATGGGCATCTAAAATATGTTTGCCACTTGTGGAGGTTGGCTGGTTCACATGCATTTTTGTGTCTGGTGAATGGCAGATTATACAAAGTTATTTGCAGAAGAAACGATATTACTTCAGATGTGTCTTCTGTGCAGAAAAAGTCTATGCAGCTTTACTAAGAATTCAGGCTTGCTGTATTTAGTACTCCCAAAGAAGTGAGCACATGATTATAAACATGCCACCCAATCCTACACTTGTCTATTGGAAGTACACAGCAGTGATTTACTAGAGTTTACCTGCAAGTAAGCACAAATGGCAGGAGCAGGGAATATGTGGCTCTCCAGTTGTGTTTGGGCTGCATCTACCATGCCTTCACCACTGGTATGCTAGCTAGGGCTGATGAGAGCTGCAGGCTAACCACATCTGGAGGGCCAGACATCCTGCACCCTGGTATATGGGATTGCACCATTAATCTACCAGAAACATATTTCAAGTCATAAAAAGGAGGTATTTATAGTACAGTTATAAGAGGAAGGCAGGAAGTAGGAAATTGGGAGAAGGGGCTTGGAAAGTCTATTAAGGGGCCAAACCACAAGGCCAGGCCTGGAATGTTTTATCCCTGAGAGGGGATGTAGCGATGTCACAGAGAGGTTGGTTTAACCCAGATATCCGCTTGGCTCTCCAACTCAAATATCTGTTACCTTTTCATATTTGTCACTTCCCCTCTTGCAAAGTCAGGTACTAGTATTTATTTTTCTACATCTGGTGGTTTTCCTCTGTCCGGCCACCAGCAAATTTACTTCTTGCTGAAATTTAACTACTTAAACACTGAAACAAGGCTGTTAATCAGAAGGAAACTCACTTCTGTTCCTTTACACTAGTCTTGGCGAATGTGAGACTATAGGACATGCTCACAGCTGGGTTCTGCCGGCTGCTCTTCAGGGCATGTCTCTTAAATTCTGAATCCTCCTAAGGGAACACATTTCAGAGCTGGTCTTGCCATTGGACCCTGTCACCTACTTTCTTGCCCCTCTTCTAATTTCCTGTTTCCTGTCTCTAGCAGTACAGCATAGCCATGTACTGAATGCTGCAAGTTTATGAACCTGTATGCAGTTCAGAGAGTTCAGTTAAAATTATTATGTGCTATTCTTGCAGATGCTGCTCTTGCAAACAAAGTAAGTATACATTCAAGTTGTACAGTACTAGTGGGAGAAATGGGATCTCAAAGTGTGATTTGCAGCAGTAAGTCAATGGGCACAGAACTGTCTAGCACATGAATACACAACAACTATGATTTCTGCTTGTGCACCCTGAGAATGATGGTTCTAAAATAATGAGTCCATGAATGTCATTGTGGAGAAAGACAAAGAACTACATACACAGAAATAAAGTTCTTTATTTTTTAAAGGTGTGCACCTATTTTCTCTTCTTATACATTTATACTCCTGTACACTTTATTTCAGAAGGTACCAACACGAATAGAAGGATCTCCAACAGTGGTGTCACCAAGGCCTGCTCCATCTCAAAAACTAGGTTTCATCAGCATGGCTGACAATACTTCTCATCAGCCTTTTTGGTGTGATACATGATTTCATGTGGAGTTCTCACATACTTCTGTACCACAGAAACCCATTTAATGGTAATGAGGCTGTTCACTAACTCAACCATCTCACAAAGCACAAATGACACACATTGGAAAACTTAGTCTTTTCAGTTGTCACTGTGATGCGTTTTTGCAGTCTCCTTCAACCTGGTGCCCTCCAGATGTTTTGGCCTTCAACTGCCACCAGACAAGGGAAGTGCAGCTAGCAACACGGGATGCTAGGAAAAATCAATCTAATGTCTCACATAATATATTAAGCAGGTCAGTTTCAGATCTCAGTCCAAATCTCCATTTAGCCATAAAGCTCACTGGATAACTTTGGAC